ATGTGGCAGTTTTTGTTCCTGGAAAAGGTGCCCAGAGAAACATGCTGAAGACCTGCCCTGGTCCCAGGACAGGAACCCCAATGGCATGTGGCTGCTCCCCAAACTCAAATCTGCCCACCACAGACTCTGAAAGCACCCATCGGGGAGTTACCAGGAAAGCCTGGGGGCCTGGCAAACTCACTGGTACACAGGAGCAGCTGCCCCAGAGCATGACTTTGAAGTGGCAGCACCTGGGCCTGGACAAGTTGGTGTCTGAGGAATGTCAGCCCTGTGACTTTGGAGTCACACCTTGGCCATGTGACAAGGCCGTGCACATGACTGTGGGCTGAGGAATCACTGGGAAGTTTTAAGGAGAGGAGAGGGGAATCAACATTCCCTGAGGACCTACCTTGGGATTAGCAGTTTTTGCAAATATGAGCTCACTTATTTCCTGCCAATAACTATAATTCCAATTTTACAGGTGAGTCAACTGAAGCCAGAGAGGTCCATGCAGGTGCCTGAGGTCACAAGGAAAGTAAATGGCAGAACCAGGATCCAGACTCTAGATCAAAAGCCTGCGTCCTTCTGACCAAACGGGAAGCAGGGTAGAATGGTTGTTGAGATGACAGGCTTTGCCTCAGACCTGGGTCCTGGCTCTGCCACTGATGAGCCTTTGACCATGGGCATTGATGTAGCCTCTCCAACCTCAATGCCTTCCTCCATAAAATGGGGGTTGTCAAATGACAAGGGGATGTAGTGAGATGATTAATGTCAACTTGTGGCCCAGCCTGGACTATGGTCCAGCAGCCCCATGTGGCCTGGCATTAGTTTTTTAAAAATTATTATAACCTTTTGCTGCCATGCCCTACTCGGGCTCATCCCCCATTGCCTGGCCATCCCCTGCAGACCATTACTGGGACTTCCACCCTCACCATGTGCACAGCGAGTTCGAGAGCTTCGCTGAGAACCACTTCACGGAACTGCAGAGTGTGCAGGCCCCCCAGCTGCAGCAGCTGTACCGCCACATGGAGCTGGAACAGATGCACGTGCTTGACACCCCCATGGCACCGACCCATGCCAGCATTGGCCACCAGGTGCGAGCGGCCCTCCCAGCCCGCAGGGGCCATGGCCTGTGGTGAGAGGCTTGGCACTTCACAGGAAGCTGACACAGGCTCTTACTCAACTCAGCTTCCTGCCCCATAGTGCCAGCAGAGGCTGAAGCCCCAACGGCTGCCTCCTGACCCTCAGACTGACCTTATGACCCCACACTCCTTATCTCCTCTGGCCCCACAATGGACAGAGCGCAGATAATGCCCCCCACTCTGATTCTCCCAGCCCCAATGGCCTCATTGTGGACTCTCCTGACCCTCACTGCCAGCAAGTCCCCATTCACTGTGCCTCATGGATCTGACCTCCAAGTCAGTGAACAATGACCTCTGCTGACCTCTGTTGGCCTCTCCCTCTCCCCACTGAGTCCCTGTACTGACCCTCTTCAGCCCCATAACCATAACCCAATCCATGACCTCAGTTGACCTCTACCATCCCTCACTGACCTGCGTGGCCCTCCACTCACTTCCACCCACTGATTAACCCATTCGCTCCATGTGCAATGCACTGGCCACTCTTCCCTCCCAGGGCTACTGCTAGTCCATGTGGCACCTTCCTGCACATGAGAAAAGGTGCCCCTCCCTGGGCCCAGGAGGGAGGATTTCAGCAGCCCCTTGCTCCCACCACCCGCACCCTGTGTGGGGTGACCCTCCTGACCTCCCATCTCCCATCTGCTCCCAAACTTCCCTGCCCACCCTCAGCACCCCCTCCTCTCTCCTTCAGCTGACCCCTGCCCCTCACTGACCTTACCTCTCCCACCACCTTTCCAGGTCTCCTACCTCCCCCGGATGTGCCTCCCATACCCCTCTCTGTCCCCGGCCCAACCCAGCTCGGATGAGGAGGAGGGCGAACGGCAGAGCCCCCCACTGGAGGTGTCTGATGGGGAGGCTGATGGCCTGGAGCCAGGGCCTGGCCTCCTGCATGGGGAGACAGGTATGGGGCCCAGCCCTCCATCCCAGCCCTTTACTCAGGCCAGCTTCGTGCCCATGCCTGTCCCAGACATGAATGTGTCTGCAGAGTGTGAGTGTGTGAAGGTTTGCAGAGGTGAGTGTTGCATCTGTGACCATCTACACCTACACGTGTCTGTCGGCACATGTGTACAAGCATGTGGTCTGTGCACCAGCACCTGTGACTGAGTGTGGGAGGCTGGCTGTGTGAGTTTGTACTCCTCTGTGCTGTAGTGTCTGTGAGTGGGTGTGTGTGTGAGTGTGAACCAGGCATGGGGTCAGGGAGCCAGTTTCCCCACAGGCACCCCCCAATGCCAAGTCGTCCCCTGGTGACTGCCCCTAGGGGTCCCTGTGTTGGGGCACTGACCACCTTCCCCCAACAGGCAGCAAGAAGAAAATCCGCCTGTACCAGTTCCTGCTCGACCTGCTCCGCAATGGTGACATGAAGGACAGCATCTGGTGGGTGGATAAGGACAAGGGCACCTTCCAGTTCTCGTCCAAGCACAAGGAGGCGCTGGCGCACCGCTGGGGCATCCAGAAGGGCAACCGCAAGAAGATGACCTACCAGAAGATGGCCCGCGCACTGCGCAACTATGGCAAGACGGGCGAGGTCAAGAAGGTCAAGAAGAAGCTCACCTACCAGTTCAGTGGTGAGGTGCTAGGCCGTGGGGGCCTGGCCGAGCGGCGCCACCCACCCCACTGAGCCCAGGCCCATGAGCCCGCTGGCCCCTAGGCCTCCCCGGCCATAGCATTAACCCCTTGCCCGGCCAGACACAGGAGGGAAGCTATAGGGGCCAGGGGCAGGACATGGCGGCCAGGCCTTGCCTCACCGCCCCACTCCTCCTCCTTCACGAGCCCACTCACAGCCCTGCTCCGCCTCCACCAGGAGCCAGCCCCAGCTCTGGAGGGCCACCTGGGCACCTGGCCCTAGCCAGGAATCGGCCTTGCTTAGCACAGCCAGAGGTGCTTCCTTGGGAGTTCGAAGTCATCATACTCTTGTAAATTGAACCCTCCTTCTTAAGCCTCCCTCACTTCCCACACCTGTCCCCCATTAGCTTCCTCAAGGAACAAAGAGTTATTAAAGTATTCTCAGTGAGTCCTCTTGAAACACAGAGAGTCTCTTTTAAAACTTTGTGTGTACCACATCTGGCTCCCCTGTCCTTTCTCATTTGTTCATTTACTGAGGACCCTACCCAATGCTGGACACCAGGGACATGAGGATGAGTGACAACACACAATGTGGGGCCAGGAGAGCTGGTGAAAGGACAAGTCCCCATAGCTATTAAAGGAATAAATCATTAAAAAGCCCCTGTGCACCTGATACATGGGTTTCTAAAAATGCTGCAGTGAGGCTTCAACACATCATCTTTAGGTTAGGACCCCGCTGCTGCGGTGGGTGCCACCAAGGGCAGCAACACTGAATTTCCCAGCCATTTATCACATGTCGACTGTCTTGCCAATGGGTTTCAGCCCCAGGCAAGTTCACTATGGGTTCAATGTAACCAAAGAAATGACAGTAGAATGTTCTTGGGGTCAAAGGGTTACACCCAACATTATTTCTGCGGTGGCAGGTCAATCACTAAAATCCCATCCACTCAGAGTGAGTGTGCATACAGCAAGTCGATCTCTGCCTCTGGGCCTCTTGGCCCGCACAGCCATACTCTGGGCCTCTGTTCTTGTTGCTGCGACCACTCCAGCCTCTGCTCTGCACAGCCTTGCAGCTGTGCCACCATGTCTCCCAGAGCACCGGGTGGAGCTCTTTATACAGAGTCAATAACAACATGTTGCTCACACATATGTAGTGAGCTAGCCAACCAGGGCCAGGTGAGAATCCCGGCCACAGGAACCTTCACTTTATCCGCAAGGATGAATGCCCCAATACCTCTTTGCTCTGAGGGCTCAACTGCGATGCTCTCGACAGAGCCACAGAGGCCCAGGGGAGGGTAAATAGTCCTCTTATAAAGAAAGCTAAGGAGCATGCCATGTAGTTTAAACGTGGTAAAAGCTCTCCACAGAGGCAGTAAAGAATGGATTTCTGTGTCTAAAGAGATAGTAAGTTTCTGCTACATGGCAATAATGCTTGTGTACAGAATTCCTCCCTCCCAAGAAACATGGGGGACAAATGCTTTCTTGATATTGGGTCTTGCTTGGAGGTAGTCACGTGTAGTTTGATTCTTTCTGGGTAGCAACAGATGCCTCGATGTGAGAGGGTGGGGGGTAGTCTCAGGGGCCAAAAGGTTACAGAGAATGGTGGGAGGTGGGATTCAGAATGTACTGGCAGGAATTTTGGTGTGAATCCTCGTGACTTTGGTAAGAGCCAGCTCCTCTTCTGACATCCACTTTGGGGTGCATTTAGGAATTTATCCTCATGCCCTCACATGCAGGCCTTCCCAACTTTTCCCATTAGGTGACACCAGCCCCCCAAATCACCTTCTCTCCACCAGACCTGGGACTAAGCCCACCCAGAACTCTCCAGTGTGAGGCCCCTCAGCCCTGTGAGATTCAGTTCCAGGGGCCAAACAACAAGAGCAAACCTTCATTCAGCATTTTCTATGTGGAATGCTGCTCCAGCATGCTCATTTATAAGCCGATCCCTTGCATGCTGCTCTCACCAGCCCTGCTCTGAGGTTAAGGCAGTGGCAGGGCCGGGACTTGGGAAGCCAGGCTGCAGGATCTTTGTGTATTACCACTGCTTGGTTGATTTGTCAGCCTCAGGGTTATGGGCCTAGCATGCTCCCACCACACATTTGTCTGTCAGGGCACCCCTAAGGTTCACCAAGGGTTGGGGGCAGAAGCCATTACATTAGCCTGAGGGGGCAGGGCCAGGGCCGGTTGGGAGCAGTGCAGCCACCCTGTCTCCCTGGAGAGCCTTGTTCTTTGGAATTTGTCTATATTTAGCAGGTGGCTGGGCAGGAGGCAGATAGGAGAGCCTGAGGAGGGGGAGGTCATCCCTATATAGTGTGGGGAGACAAGGTCCTGCTTAGATCCTCTTTGGGTGGCCTGTGTCTGCTCGGTCCCTGGTGTGACCTCTCTCAAGATGCCTGAGCCAGGGAAGAAGCCAGGTAGCTCCAGGTCTGGGGTTGGGCTGAATGTGGGTCAGGGAGAGCTGGGGGCATTTACAACTGGGGGGCAGGCCTTGGTGTAAGTTCCTAAGGAGGGACTGTCTTTCTGGGTCCTTTTTTGATTCTTGGTTTCTCCTTGTCCTTTTGATGACAGTGAGGGTAAACCAGGATCAGGGGCAAGAGAGGAAAGAGCCAAACCATGAAGCCCCCAGGGCTGCCATTGTACTCTTAGGAGGCAGGGGGGCCTCTTCCAGTTCCCATGGGGACGTGGATTGTCCCCATCTCTCCTGCAGCAAGATTAGGCCTAGGCTTGCTTTTTGGGAAAAGACCACTGCAGGCAGGAGCCCAAGCTGAGTCTGGATTTATGTCGCTTAAGGGCTTGCTGAATGCTCTTGGGCAAATCCCTCTTTCTGGGTCTCAGTTTTCCCATCTATACAAGGAGGGCTTGGGTTGGTTCCTCCCAGCAGTAAGATTCTCTGCTTTATGAGCCTCCATTCCTGTGGTCCCTACACCAGGTGTGGTCCCCATGTGGAAGTAATGCAGCCCCCTCTGCTGTGGGAGAGGATGGTCAAGAGGCCCCTAAGCCTGGGCCAAGGGCAGAGAAACTCACAGCTCAGGGTCCTGCTCCTGGCCTGTGCCCTTCCCTAGATTGTCCAGGGCAGGGCCCAGCCCTCCCAGGCCAGCTTTATCTCAGTTGCTGATTCCCAGACTGAGGCCTCTGGAAGACGAATTTAGCCACATCCAAGTGGGCAGTGTCTGTTCTTTACCAGGGGCCCCAGATAGGCTGGGGGGAGGCTGGGCTTCCACAGGCAGGAAGGGTGGGATATCCATCCAAGGACACACCTAGCAAAATTCTTGTGCGGAGTGTGGAGGTTAGGGCCACAGCCCTGGCCTCCCGCCTGCTGGCCATGTGATTCTGTTTGAGTCACTTAACCTCTGAGCCTCAGTGTCTTTATCTGAGAAACGGTCACAATAACTGCACCCACCTCATAGAGATGGCAGAGCATTAAATAAGGTGATGCATTAAAGTGCTTATTGACATTTTGAATAAGAGGGGCTGTAGGCATGGGATGCATGGGCAAGCCAGGGGCCCCTGCAGCCTCTGTTGGTCCCTCAGTCTCAGCCTTCATCAAGAAGCCACGATCAGTGGAGGTGGCCACCGGCAGCCCTGCTGTGTTTGAGGCTGAGACAGAGCGGTCAGGAGTGAAGGTGCGCTGGCAGCGGGGGGGCAGTGACATCAGCACCAACAGCAAGTACAGCCTGGCAGCTGAAGGCACACAGCACACACTGACAGTGCGGGACGTGGGTCCTGCTGACCAGGGGCCCTATGCAATCATTGCTGGCTCCTCCAAGGTCAAATTTGACCTCAAGGTCCTAGAAGCAGGTAAGAGACTGGTCATCATTCCCTGAGGTTTGGGGATGGGGGATCCTACTGCACAGGCCACAGGAGGTGCCTCTCCCTTTCTTGCATTTGCTCTGGCTGTGTCCTCTGCCAGGAATGCCCTCTCCCCTTTTCTGCAGCAAGTTCCCTGTGAGCGCCCCCTGGGCCTCTCTGGCCTGTTCCAGCCACTGTGCAGGCAGGGGGAGCTTAGAGATAAATAGGCATAACCCTGTCCTCCCACGGGACACCTACACACTGAAGGGGACTTGGCGGGCTGTATGTGCTGGCAGGGAGTCCCTAGCCCAGGCTGGGACTGGACCAAGACTGGAGCCTGGGGAAAGAGAAGAGGAAGGACTTCAAAGCTGTTCAGGCAGACCCACTGGGCTGTGGGTGCAGATGGTCTGAGGGAGAGGAGAAGGCGAGATATGGCCTGACCAAGCTCTGCACGTGCTACAGTTTTTAATGAGCCTGCAAAGACAGAGGAGGGACCGGGGATTAGGGGTCTCTGCCCAGAGGCTACTCCACTCCCTTACCTGATCCCTTCCAGAGAGGGCAGAGCCTGTGCTAGGCCCTGTTCTCAGCCCTGCAGAGGCCCCTGGAGCCCCTGGAGTAGCCCTGGCCTCAGCTGCTGAGGTGGAAGGAGGTTCCCCAAGTCCCAGAGGTGAGAGGGCTGGGCAGGGAGGGCCAGGGCAGTAGGTGGGTGTCCCAGGGCAGATCTCAAAGGCTTCTGCTCACAGGACCAAGCTCGGCAGCCTCCCACAGCCCTGGTGCACCTGATGACCACATTGGTCTCTTTGTGACGCGGCCGCAGGATGGTGAGGTGACCATTGGTGAGTGTGGGGCCGCCTGCACCTGGGAGCGTGTGGAGGGGAAGTGGGGCACTGCCCAAGCATAGCCTGCTGCCCTGTCCTGCAGGAGGCTCTATCACCTTCTCTGCTCGTGTGGCGGGGGCCAGCCTCCTGAAACCACCCATGGTCAAGTGGTTCAAGGGCAAGTGGGTGGACCTGAACAGCAAGGTGGGCCAGCACCTGCAGCTGCACAACAGCTACGACCGGGCCAGCAAGGTAGGGCCCGCAGGTGGGAAGCTGGGGGCCGTGGGGCTCCAGGCCAGCCACATGGTAAGGGGAGAGCCACTGGGAGGCACAGGGAGTCAGGGATGTGCCTGAGACTGGAGGCACACCGGAAGTGTGAAGAAAGGGCCTGCAGAGCTCAGGAAGCAGGTCGGGGGACCACGGATACACAGGGAGCGTGGGAAGGTCTGGGGAGGGTTGTTGGGGAGGCCCAGGGGACCTGTGGGCTATGGGGAGCTGAAGGGCATGATAGTCTTAAGGGGGCATAAAAGGGCTTAGGGGCCCAGGGAACTGAGGAAGGCTGAGGGACAGCGTGAAGCACAGGGGCAGGGTGGAGGCACCAGCTGGTGAGGTGTAAAGCTCTTGAATGGAAGGGTATCAGACTCAAGGGCCTTCATTGGCCAACCAGAACGATTTTCATCACATAGACGAAGTAAACCAAAACTTGAGAAGTTTCTGTTGCTGGTCTGAGGTCGCTCAGAGCCAGGCCTAGAACCTGTGCTTTGATTCCTAGCCTCTGTTACTCCTTTTCTTCCACTGTCCTGGCCTAGGCAGGGGGGCCTCTGGCAGGGTCAGGGTGGACAAGTTCAGCCGTATGAGCCATATTGCACGAAAGTCCTTGCTCTTACCCGAATGCCATTTGCCTTACAGCCACTACAGACTTTCATTTTATCACCACCTATTGCCAGCAGATGGCAGTAATGTTTCTAGAGAAGGGGCTCCTGTTTCTATTTACACAAAACCTTAAGGGTTAACTAAACCCTGAAGGGTGAGAAGTTTGGTGGCTGTTAGCTGCCCCCAGTCTCCTTAGGGGTAAAGGGCCTTGTCTTCTAGCCCCTGGTCTCCCCTGACACCTCACCCCACAGGTCTACTTGTTCGAGCTGCACATCACAGATGCCCAGGCCACCTCTGCTGGTGGCTACCGCTGTGAAGTGTCCACCAAGGACCAATTTGACAGCTGCAACTTCAGCCTCACCGTCCACGGTGAGGGAGGCTACAGTGTGTCCTGGGCTGGGGCTCCCCATGGGTCCTGCCCCTGTGTTTGCCTCCATTTCCCAAAACTAAGGAGGATGCCTAGTTCTGGCCAGACAGCTGCTGACCCAGTGCCAAGGTAGCTCATGTCGGGGTATGAAAGGGGGCCTCAGAGGCTTCCAGGGTCGGGGTGGGCTCTGGCAGCCAAGTCCAGATCTTGCCTGGGGTCTTGATCATCTTGGTGTCCCAGGCACCTGACACAGGTGACAGGTGAGGGTGTGCTGAGAGATGAGTGGAAGATCAACCACCTTTCAGGGACCCCCCCACCTCCCTGGGCAGCTCAACCCTAGAAAGGCTCAGAATGTGGGGTCCTGGGGCAGATGCCCACTCTCAAGGGGTTGTGAGTGCTAGGAGGTCATAGTGATGCCAGGAGATCCCAGGGCAGAGCTTCCGGGAAGGCCCCTCTGAAGCCCCCTCCCCTGTCATCTCCCTCTTTGAACCCAGAGGCCATTGGCTCTGGAGACCTGGATCTCCGATCAGCTTTCCGCCGCATGTGAGTGGCTGTTTCTCTTCAGGGCCTGAGGGAGGCCAGTGCTGGGGTCTGAGGGCCCTCAGGGTCAGGACTAGGGGTGATATGTGGGTTCAGGCCTGGGGTAATGGGGGTGGGGGGATGATGTGGGGTTCAGGTCTGGGGGACAATGTGGGGAGAGGGCTGAAGTTGGTAGGGATGAGGGGGAGCAAGTTCTCCTAGATAGGTGAGGAACAGGTTCTGACCCCCACAGGAGCATGGCCGGAAGTGGTCGACGGATCAGGTACCCTCCCCTTAGCCCCTATCTGACCCCTATCTAGACCCGGAGGGTCTGGGATGGTCAGGGAGCCCTGTGCCTCTCCTGAGCCCCTTCCAATAGGCTCCACTGCGGCTTCACTGGGGCTCTGTCTCCACAGTGACAGCCATGAGGATGCTGGTACTCTGGACTTCAGCTCACTGCTGAAGAAGAGGTGAGGCTCTGGGTAGCAGCTCTTGGGACATGTTCAAATCCCGACACTGCAGTGTCTCAGCTGTGACCAGGTTGCTGCACCTCTCTGAGTCGATTTTTGTCTGTCATGGATGATCTTGGTGTTGGGAAAGAGTCAAAGAGGTCTGCAGACATTATGTCCTGTCAGCTAACATCCTCACAGTGTCCCCAACAACCACTCCCCACTTGAGCCCATGCCAGCTCACCTCAGTAGGCTCCAGGGACCCAAAAGAAGCTGAGGGGTGACCAGAGTTGCAGGAATTGCCCAGCCCAGCCCAGCCCAGCTGACACATGTCCTCTGTCTTCTCCCTCTGTCTCCTGGACCCTGCATTATGTCGGATGCTGCTGTATCCCAGAGAGTAAGCACTGGGGTTGGGTGCTTTGGGGAGGCAGAGTGCTGGAAGGAGCCTGTACCCATTCCTGTCCCAGTTGGTGGGAAATGGGGCTGGGGAATTAGCTAGGCCTGGGTGAGGGGACCCACTGATTGGGGCGAGTCTCTGAGCCTCAGGTTCTCCTGATCCCACCTGCCAGAGCTCAGGAGAAACAAACAAGGTGACATGTGTAGCAAGCCCTGCAGTGCCTTCATGGGCCTTCCAGGTGTCCCGTAAATGGAGGAGGGTTAGGGCCCAGGGGCTGCAACCCCAGGTGTTTGCAGGGAGGTGGCCCATCTCTAATGTGTCCACTGCCTTTCTGCCCCACCTGGAGCAGCAGTTATCGGACCCCAAGGTGAGTGCTCAATTACCCCCTACTTCCACCAGGAACCCCTCCCTAGGCCCAACCCCCATACTGAACCTTAAGCCTTATCCTCTGGAACTGGCTGAGGACAAGCTTCCTCACCAGAAGGGAGACTTGGGAGAGGCAGCTAACAGCTCCTTGGCCCTCCTTGGTCCCGGGGGATGGGGAGGGCAGTACTGCCCTGGTATGGGGGGCCCCTGAGGTCCCTCCGCATGGACCGCAGTCACATGGACTCCAGGTTGGAGGCCCCAGCCGAGGAGGATGTCTGGGAGATCCTGCGTCAGGCAGCCCCATCGGAGTACGAGCGCATCGCCTTCCAGCATGGAGTCACCGACCTGCGCGGCATGCTCAAGAGGCTCAAGGGCATAAAGCGTGATGAGAAAAAGAGCACGGGTTAGCGCCCCCACCACACACACACATGCACGAGAGCACAGGTTAGCATGCACACTCACACTCACTCACTCACTCTGGTTTAGCCCAGAGACACCAGGAAAGGAGAAGGACCCAGATTAACCCTACTCTTGGGTAGGAAAAACCAGGAGTGCCCAGGTTAGCCCAGAGATACTGCAGGGAAAAGGACAGAGCACAGGTTCCCCTCCTCACCAAGTAAAGGCCAGGAGGCTGCTTCTTCCCGGTCTCACCCTTGAAAAGCACCCAAGAAAAAGGGAGGGACCAGCCGAGCCAGAGACACACACCCTGGGAGAGGGGGCTTGGTTAATCTCCCTTACAGGCAAACAAATGAACAGAATACTCAGGTTCTGGTTGGCTTCCCTCACCCCCAGGAAGCCCGACAGAGAGGGCTCAGGCAAGCATTCCCCATCCATGGCTGGCAGGGTAGAACTGACACCCTGGGAAATGGGCTGGGAGAGCAGGGGTCTTGCCTGCCCACTAGGTACGGGCCCCTAGCAGAGGCACAAAAACCAGGGGTTGCTGTTAAACAGGGTCAAGAAAGAGAATGTCCATTTGTCCTGTCACCCATTCTCCTGCCAAGTTTTTGTCTTTCTGGAAGCACTGACTCCGTCCCAGAGCTGAGTGGGTGGAGAGAACCCCATGGAAGATAGGAGGGTAAAGGGAAGGACAAGGAAGTGACAGACACAGACAGAGACTAATAAACAAAGAAACCCCAGCCCCAGAGGAGACACAGAAAGGGGTGTGAGCCTTCTGTACAGGGCCAGCCCTGACGGGCAGGGGACATGGAGCACGGGGCTGACAGTTGGTGCTCAGCCTTTCAGAAGAAGCTGGAGCCGGCCTACCAGGTGAGCAAGGGCCACAAGATCCGGCTGACCGTAGAGCTGGCCGACCCTGACGCTGAGGTCAAGTGGCTGAAGAATGGACAGGAGATCCAGATGAGTGGCAGGTGTGGGCTGGGTGGAGAGTGGGCCTGGGGTGCTGGGTGTGTGGAGGGGGCCACCCTCCCCGCCTCTCTCCACATGTGTTCTCTGTCTTTGCCAGCTTGTAGTCTGTCTCCCCCCATTTCTCTCTCTGGATCTGACATCCCATCTCTCTGTTTCTGCCCATGTCTGCTCCTCACTCTTTTTCTCCCGGTCTCACCTCCTCCTATCGGGGACACTCCAATGTCCTGTCTGTTCCACAGCAAGTAAGGCCAGCTCCTGAAAGCCCTGGGGTGGGGGCAGGGGGCCCTGGTGGGGTGGCCCGGCCAGGAGGTGGGTCAGCAGCTCTCCCGCCATGCCACTGCTGTCCCCACGCAGGTATATCTTCGAGTCTGTCGGGGCCAAGCGCACACTGACCATCAGCCAGTGCTCACTCGCGGACGATGCTGCCTACCAGTGCGCAGTGGGAGGGGAGAAATGCAGCACTGAGCTCTTTGTCAGAGGTGGGCCCCGGCCCTGGAGCCCTGGGAGGGAGGGCCACAGAGGGGCCTGCCCATCACCGTCTCCCTGCCTTGGCAGAGCCCCCAGTGCAGGTCACACGGCCACTGGAGGACCAGCTGGTGATGGTGGGACAGCGGGTAGAGTTTGAGTGCGAGGTGTCTGAGGAGGGGGCCCAGGTCAAATGGTGAGTGCCCAGACATGGGGCAGGTTGGAGGCTAGGGACGTTCCCAGAGAAGGCCATGACTTACTGGCCCTTCCCTGGCCAGGCTGAAGGACGGGGTAGAGCTGACCCGGGAGGAGACCTTCAAGTACCGGTTCAAGAAGGACGGGCAGAGACACCACCTGATCATCAACGAGGCTACGCTGGAGGACGCCGGGCACTATGCTCTGCATGCCAGTGGGGACCAGACACTGGCCGAGCTCATTGTGCAGGGTGAGGTCCACAAGAGTGGGTAGGGGAGTACACTAGGCTTCAGGGCTTTGGGGCACCCCCAGCCATGGATGGGAATCAGGCAGACCTTGGATGGAGGCCTGTGGGACCCTGGGCAAATCACTCTGACACCCTGAGCCTTACCTTTGTCACCTGTAAAATGGCCACCTCAGAGGGTATTGGGAATGTCAGGTGGGCCTGGTTAGCGTCACATACCCTCAAACACACACACCTGAGGTTCTCTGTGTACATGGCACCATCTTATGCACACATGATCACACACATGCATACATGTGTCCTCACATGCCCATGTGATCTCCACAGGGGCTTACGCCCACACACACCCTCCCCAATTCACTGGTTCTGCCTTGCCCACCAGAGAAAAAGCTGGAGGTATACCAGAGCATCGCGGACTTGACGGTGGGCGCAAAGGATCAGGCCATGTTCAAGTGTGAGGTGTCAGACGAGAGTGTGCGGGGAATGTGGCTGAAGAACGGGAGGGAGCTGGTGCCTGACAGCCGCATCAAGGTGTCCCACATTGGACGGTGAGCATGCAGGGCTGAGCCCCAACAAAACTGGGAGCAGAAGGGCAGGACCAGCAGGGACTGGGGCAGACACACAGAGAAACAAAGACAGACAGAGATGGACAGATGAGCGGAAAGAGACACACAGAGACAGGACAGAGACTGAAATAGAGAGACAGGTAGAGAGGATATGGAGAGTCAGGAGCATACAGAGAAGGAGGGACCATCAGAGGCGGGGACAGAGACAGAGGAGAAGCAGAGAGAGACAGACAAGTTGGAAACTCCGGCCTCCCACAATGCATGACTAGGGCAGTGCAGGAGGCACAGGGAGGCAGCTCTGGCAGGGCCCCTCACTCCCACTCTCTTACTCATGCTCTGAGCATCTGGGCCAGCCCATGCTGGGCCCAATGTCATGGAGATTAATGAGATTAGCCTCTGCCCAGTCTCTAAGGGCCCAGCCAAGGGGACGCTTCTACCTGGCCTACCTCTGAGAACATGTGAGAAAACTGTAAGATTCAAAAACAGAGAAGAAAAGCATTTAAAACAACAGAACACCAGTGAGCTAGGTGAGGGTAAGAGCCCCCTGCAGGCCTGGCTAGGGTGAGGCTTGGGTGTGTGGCCCAGTCAAGTCCCCTGAACACCACTGCCCTGTAGGGTCCACAAGCTGACCATTGACGACGTCACCCCCGCAGACGAGGCTGACTACAGTTTTGTGCCTGAGGGCTTTGCCTGCAATCTGTCTGCCAAGCTCCACTTCATGGGTGAGATGGTGTCTGGGTCAGGGGTAGGGACCCCTGTCACTGGGCTCTGCCTTAGCCCTTGGTGCCACTTAGTCTACCTTGTCTTGCAGAGGTCAAGATTGACTTTGTGCCCAGGCAGGGTGAGTCTCGGAGCCCCTGTGTGCAGCCTCCCTGCACCCTGTCCTGCCACATTCCCCTGCACTCAGAGACCCAGACCCAACTCTGCCACTGTGGCCACGGGCCATTTGTAACCTCGTTGAGCTTCAGTTTCCTCTTCTCTAAAATGGGAATCCAGCACCTCCTCCATGGGGTGGTAGGAAGACAAGATGGTGTGTGTGAGTTGCCAAACGTTGTCACAGATGTGAGATTAAATCTTTTCTGCTTTTTGAACCCTCCTGCTTTTAGATTAAACTTTATCAGGCATTTTAGAATTCTAACTTTAGGACACTAGTTCAGGCTAAGGCATGTTCAAGGTCAGTGCTTTCCAAACTGGGTTCACTTAACATGATATTCCATTTTAAAAGGGTTCCATGGTGAAAAGAGTTTGGGAAACACTAAACTCTTGCTCCACTTCTTGCTTATTCAGAAGGTGCGTTAGCATGTCAAAAGCTCTGAAAAATCCTGCAGTAAAGAAACATGATTAATTTTGTTTAATCCAGGGTTTCCTAATTTCTTTGGCCATGGACAGTTCTTTCCTTTTTCCTGGAAGCAAATTGGTATTCCCCAGAACACAGTTTGAGAAATGGTATGCTAGGTGATCTGATGTTATAAACCTCCCCAAGAACTTCCTGGGGTGATGGAAATGTTCTAGATCTTGATTGGAGTGGCAGATACACAGGTGTATGCATTTGTCAAAGCACATCAAGCTCTGTGCTCAAATCTTGGCATTTTATTGTGTATAAATTACACCTCAATAAAATTGATTTAAAACCAGCCAAGGGCATGTGCTCTTTCCAGTTTCCCCCTCTTTCATGGGCCTTGGGCCCTTTCTCCTTTCTCTGGCCTATGCCGTCTTCCCCCAGAGCCTCCCAAGATCCACCTAGACTGCCCCGGCCACATGCTGGATACCATCGTGGTTGTGGCTGGGAACAAGCTACGCCTGGATGTCCCTATCTCCGGGGACCCTGTTCCCACTGTGATCTGGCAGAAGTCCCTCACACAGGTACTGTGGGACCCTCCTTTCTTCCCCATCTGTAAAACAGTGTGTGGGGCCAATGAGTGTGGGGACCTGCTCCCAGCCCACATGTGCATGCTCTACAGCTGGCCCCAGACTTGAAACACAGAGGCTTTGCTGGCCAGGAGGTGGACAGGGTGGGGCAGCAGAGGGGGTAGAGGCAAAGGAGAGACAGAAGGGCTGCTGGGCAGGCAGTCCCTCCAGGCTGTCAGCCCCTCTTCCCGCTACTTCCCTCCTGCTCTGTTCTCAGGGGAGTAAGGTCCTGGCTATGCCAGCTCCCGATGGCTCAGGGGATGCAAGTGCCAGTGACGAGTGGGTGTTTGAAAGGAAGGTGAGTGGGGCTGAAGGTGGGACATGCTTTTTTGCTCTTTCGCCCACCAACGTTTTCTGACAATGTGGCATCTACCCTTGGGCGAGGCTTCTGTGATTGGCCCAGGCAGGATGTACATTGGCCCTCATGCCTCTGTTAGGTGCACTTCATATGTATGACTGGGCTGCTCCCTGGCTCCCATCTTCCAAGCCAACCCTGACTCTGCTTCCTGCCAACCAGGGAGTAGGTGTCCCTGGCACTTTCCAGAAGGAGTAGCTTTGCCTCCTGGTCAGCTTGGCTCCTCCATGCGCTGTTAGTTCCTCTACCCACCTGAGGTCTTGCAAGACCTTCACAACCACTCTGTGAGGTCATGCTGTTCCCAAAGGATGAGGAAAATGCAGCACAGAGAGGAGAGGCGATTATCTAAGCTCCATGGCAAAGGTGGATGCTGAAACCATTGCCTTACTGTTTTGCCCATGGCAGGTGCTAAATAAAAATCTTTGGACCAGGTGCCCACACGGGTGCAGTGCCTACTTGGGCTGTGTCTCCCCAACAACCCTTCTGCAAGCTCGGTTCCCGTCTTGGGGCTGTTGAGCATTACAGAGGCAGCTGAAGCCTCTGGGGTCTGACTGTGGCTTTTCCTCCCCCCATCCCCCACCAGCTGCTGTGTGAGACTGAGGGCCGGGTCCGAGTGGAGACCACCAAGGACCGCAGCATCTTCACTGTCGAGGGGGCAGAGAAGGAAGATGAGGGCGTCTACATTGTCACAGTGAAGAACCCCGTTGGGGAGGACCAGGTCAACCTTACAGTCAAGGTCATTGGTGAGTCCAGCCAGCCCAGGTTCAGCTGGGAAAACAAGGGGGGCCGCCAGGGCTGCACCCATCCCCTCCCTCCCCTCAGCAGGCATCATGAGTCCTGCTCGGATCCAAGGACAGGACTGGGGCTAGGACACGGGCGAATATAGGCAGTGAGGGGCCATAAGTGGTTGGTCACAGGCTGATGACACAATCAGAACTACATTCTGGAAACTCACTCTGGGGGTGGTGGGTTATCCTGCAGCCACTGGCTGGGTGGAGAGGAGACCAGTAATATTGGCCCTGGGCCCGGGCAGGGCTGACATGAGCCCCTCTCCGCCCCAGATGTACCGGATGCCCCTGCTGCCCCCAAGATCAGCAACGTGGGCGAGGACTCCTGCACCGTGCACTGGGAGCCACCTGCCTATGATGGTGGGCAGCCAGTCCAGGGTGAGTCGAGGACAAGAGAGAGGAAGCCAAGGGCATGGGAGCCGTGCTGCGGGGCCTCAGACTGGAGCTCCTGGCTGCCCTTTGTCAGGCTACATCCTGGAGCGCAAGAAGAAGAAGAGCTACCGGTGGATGCGGCTCAACTTCGACTTGCTGCGGGGACTGAGCCATGAGGCGCGGCGCATGATTGAGGGCGTGGTGTATGAGATGCGCGTCTATGCAGTCAACGCCATTGGCTTGTCCAGGCCCAGCCCTGCCTCCCAGCCCTTCATGCCTATCGGTGAGCCTGCCCAGCCTGGCACTGCCCCCATGCTGTCCCTGGGCAAAGGGCCCCAATAATAGCAGCTGCTCTGTGGGCAGTTGCCACACTAGGAGTTTACATCCACTGTCTTTTAATCTTCAACTGGGATAATTCTCTGCATTTCACAGATAAAGCAAGTGAGGTTCTGAGAAGTTAATGACTTGCTATAGGTCACCCAGCTGGTAGCGGGTGGAGCGGAGACTGTGGAAAGGGCCTTGGACCAGGAATCAAAGATGGGGTTTGTGAAGCTAGCTCCATCATCCCCAGGAGGGTCATCTGGAGGCACTGGCTCTCCTGAAGCCTCAGTTTCCTCATCTGTATAATGGGAGTTGAGAGGGTAGACCAGATGCTGTGGATGTGGCGGGCTCTTGGGACACCAGTCCCTACTAGGATGTGTGAGTCTGGGCAGTGGCAGTGGCTGGCTGGGGCAGGGACAGTCACTCACATCTGGCCTGGGAAAGGGCACAGCTTGCCTGGCAGGAAGGGGGGTGCTGCGTGTGGAGAAGGGCCCAGGCCTCTTCCTTGAGGGACCGATTTCCAGTCTGCCTGGCCCTCCCTCAACTCACCTGACTGTGCAGCACCAGGGGATGATCATGGTTTAGCCTAGTTTTTCCTTAAATTACATTTTTAGCATTTCCTATGCTTACAGAAGTGGCTCTTTCTAAGCATGTTTGTGTTCTTTTGGGTATCTTCCTATTTAGATCTCTCATGTAATTGCTGTGGCTGTTTGTTTTTACGCCTATGTAGAGATATGTTGTTTAATGGAGCTGAACTATTGCCTAGAGTGCTTGAAAGCCAGCTGAAGGGAAAGAAGCCTCTGTGTGTGCAGTAGGCCATGCAAGGTCTAGGACAGGGCTTTTCACCTTCCCTGCCCATGCAGGCTTACTCAGACCTTCCTCTGGCTTTCTCTCTGCCCAGGCCCCCCCAGCGAGCCCACTCACCTGGCAGTGGAGGATACCTCCCACACCAGTGTCTCCCTCAAGTGGCGGCCCCCAGAGCGCGTGGGAGCTGGAGGCCTGGACGGCTACAGCGTGGAATACTGCCAGGAGGGCTGTGAGTGCCTGTTGGATCCTCATGGGTCCCCTTCTCTGAACTGCCCCTTAGACCAGGCACCTGTCATGCTGCTGGGCCCCTAGCTGCAGTGGAGACCTCAGATGGCCCCCAGAGGGGTGAGCAGCAGGGTGGGGTGTCAATGTTGAGATCTCATAGCCAGTAAGTCACAGGCCAGGATGCAAATCTAGGCTTTTCGACTCTATGCCCTGTGCTGTTTCCACCCATTTGCTGGTTCCACTTTGAGAACTAATCTTTACACACTGATCCTTTGTTGGGAATAAAGGACTGGGCAGAGGATCCCCAATGGCCAATCTGCTCAGTCCTGCCTCCCCACCTCATGCCCAGGCTCAGAGTGGGTGGCTGCCCTGCAGGAGCTGACAGAGCGCACATCGATGCTGGTGAAGGACCTGCCCACAGGGGCCCGGCTGCTCTTCCGTGTGCGGGCACACAATATGGCAGGGCCTGGAGCCCCTGTCACCACCAAGGAGCCTGTGACGGTGCAGGAGATACTGCGTGAGTGGCCCATTGCAGTCTCAAGATCTTTCACCAATACCCTAGCTCTTGCAGGTCGCTGGAGGTGGGGACAGTCAGGGAGACCCTTCTAGAGAGAGGGACTAAATGCTGGGCAGCGTAAGGAGGAGTGAGGGCCTTGATCCAGGCTCTAGGCCCAGTGCAAATGTGTAGAGAGGGCCCTCCTGGCTTTTCCATATCAACCCCTAGTTCTGGAACAGAAGAGGTAGATTGTCATACCATTGTCTTTGAGCTCTATTCTATGAGGCTCTCAGCTCCTACAGCTAGGTGGTGTTCTTGTGCTCAGGACTGAGCAGTGAGGTGGTGTTCCTCTGGCCTGAGCTCACCTCACTGAGCTGCCCACTCTGCTCACAGAGCGGCCACGGCTCCAGCTGCCCCGACACCTGCGCCAGACCATCCAGAGGAGGGTCGGGGAGCCCGTGAACCTCCTCGTCCCTTTCCAGGTAGGGCTGGCCCCTTCCCCATCCCCAATGTGTTGTCCATGCTTAGTGGCTGCATGGGTCTCAGGGCTGACCAGACCCTGACACCTTACCCAGACATGCGAGGCTGGGGAAGGGCTGGACCTAAAAGTGGGCTGTCCTTCCCCACAGGGCAAGCCCCGACCTCAGGTGACCTGGACCAGAGAGGGGCAGCCGCTGGCAGGTGAGGAAGTGAGCATCCGCAACAGCCCTACAAACACCATCCTGTTCATACGGGCCGCTCGCCGTGCCCACTCTGGCACCTACCAGGTGACGCTGTGCATTGAGAACATGGAGGACAAGGCCACACTGGTCCTGCAGATCGTTGGTGCGTAGTGCTGGGCCCTCCCTGAACCTGCTCGTTTTCAGGCCCTGAGCTGGGCTGCCAAGGCCCAGCACCAGGCCTGAGGACCCAGCCCAGACCTTCACATCTTCCCGCCTAGGGCCCTTCCTCTGGGATGCTCAGAGCCCTGCAGAAGACAGCAGGCCAGGCCCAGGGGTGAGGGGGCCCCTGGAACCTGGTGTCCTTGAGAATACTCAGGAAGTTTTAGGAGGTATGGTGCTCTAACAGGGTCTATTTCCTGCAGACAAGCCAAGTCCTCCCCAGGATATTCGGGTCATTGAGGCATGGGGTTTCAATGTGGCTCTGGAATGGAAGCCACCTCAAGACGATGGCAACACAGAGATCTGGGGCTACACAGTACAGAAAGCTGACAGGAAGACCATGGTGAGCTAGGGTTCCTGGAGCACCCACGCACACCTTCCCCAAGGACAGGCAGGCCTAGGCCCCAGCTGTTCCCCCCACCTGCCCTTAGAATGGGCCTGCTTCTTATCCTCCCTCTCTGATCTGGTTCCACAGTTGCCATACATACTGGGGGTACTCGAGAGGCCCCTGACAGGGAGCAGGGCCTGGACCTGAGAGTCCCTTTCCTTACACCCCCAGGAGTGGTTCACTGTCTTGGAGAATTACCGCCGCACCCACTGTGTGGTATCAGAGCTCATCATTGGCAATGGCTACTACTTCCGGATCTTCAGCCATAACATGGTGGGGGCGAGTGACAGAGCTGCCACCACCAAGGAGCCTGTCTTTATCCCTAAACCAGGTGCTGTACCCTCACTTCCACCCCTGGGGTAGCTGGGACAGGGAGGCAGTGGGAGCAAGGAGAGGAGCCTACCTTCTTTGTATGGCAATCTTGGTACAAAGTCCTATCACCAACAGGCATCACTTATGAGCCACCCACATACAAGGCCCTGGACTTCTCCGAGGCCCCATGCTTCACCCGCCCCCTGGTGAACCGCTCGGTCATTGCTGGCTACAACGCCACCCTCTGCTGTGCTGTCCGGGGCAGCCCCAAGGTAGAGGACTCAGGGCCCCGGTCTAGGCAGACTCAGGACGCAGGGTTCAGAGGTGCCGACCTCCATCAGCCCTCTCCCCAGCCTGTCCTCCTGCTCTCTCTCTACTTCTGGGTGTCAGGACGAAGTTCCTCTCCCTGAAGAGGGCCTTGGCACCCTCCACAGGCTCCTGGTTCATTCCCAGCCTTGGTCACAGTTCGAGACTCCAGGGAACCACTGGGGCAGAAATGCAAATGCCAGTGTTCCTAGGTTCCTGCCAGGTCCCCTCTCTTCCTGAAACAGTCTTCCTGCTCCCCATTATCTGACTTATAGCCCAAGATTTCCTGGTTCAAGAATGGCCTGGACCTGCGAGAAGATGCCCGCTTCCGTACGTTCAGCAAGCAGGGAGTGTTGACCCTGGAGATTAGAAAGCCCTGTCCCTTTGATGGGGGTGTCTACGTCTGCAGGGCCACCAATTTACAAGGCGAGGCACAGTGTGAGTGCCACCTAGAGGTGCGAGGTGAGGAACCCACTGGGCCAGGGCCTGGGGTAGTGGAGAAGGCAGGGAAGCGGCTGGGACTCAGCTGCTCTGGCAGAGAGCAATGACCCTGTCATGTCCAAGCCACGGGTACTGGCTCCTGGGCTCTGCTACCACAGCTGGTCCCCCTGGCCTTCCAGAAGGCTGGGCAGACACACATGTGCCATGGCCTCCTCCTCTCCTGCAGTGCCTCAGTGACCAGGCTGGCTCCCCAGGATGGCCAGGTATGTACTCCACCACCCCAAACCCACAGCCCAAATCAAAGGCTGAGCTCTGGCCCTTGGTCCAGGGCTGCCATTGGGACAAGGGGGTGCAGGTGGTTCTTAGCAAGGTTTCAGCCCATCCCAGTCACAAAGAGAACCTGTGTCATAGGTGCAACCAGATACCAGCGCCTGTGCCAGGAGCCTGAAAGGAAGCTGGATGAGCCACCTTCCTGCTGTTGGATGTGTGTATGCAAGCGTGTATCTTGGAGCTGGGGAGGGGTGGCATCCATAGGGCATCATAGTTATGGTGAGCAGGCCTGGTGGGCTCTGTGCAGACTGGACTGTCAGAGCTTCCACTAGATGCTCAGATCTTTGGGGTGAATAGTGGGCTGCCTGCCCTGTCTTCTCAATGTATAGGGGCAATAAAAGATCAATGCACTCAGAAAACTGACTCTTGTCCAATGTGCTTATTTCCACCAAGGGCACAGGGAAATTTATTTGATTTTCAGGGCAAACTGAACATAGGTATTGTCTTCCAAATGAGCAAAACATGGCCCAGAGTAGAATCCAAAAGTCGTAAAACATTAACACCAGGAGGACCCTCAGTTTTCCCCCACTGTGTACACTCTTCTAATGAGGAAACTGAGGTGCTATGATGGAGAAAAGTGTATTAGCAACAGAGTGAGAAACCGAAGGCTCTCCTGTCTGGTCCCACATGTTCAGTATCATCTTTGTCTGGATGGGGGCAATGGTGAACCTCAGTGTGGTTCTGGGCTTGTAAAGCCTAGACTGGAGCTGCATCAAGCTGACTTGGGATGCTGTTGGACAACAAAAGTGTACAGCCCATCCAGACCCTAGCAAAGCAGATCTATCCTGTCTAGTGCAAGACACTGGGAACCAGGACAGTGTATCAGACAGAGCCCTACTCCACTCTGGGAGGAGGAAGCCATCAGGTCTCAGAAGTGCCCTGATAGAGCGTAGAAGGTCTTTTCTGCTCAGGCAGCACCAGGGGTTCATCCATGGCCTAGAAAAAATATTCCAGGAGGGCTGTTCTAGGGTTGTTTCTCAGTTATATCCAACGCCAAACACTCCCGGCCAAGAGTGCCGGGCTCCAGGCCCTGTGGGAGGCCCTGGTCAAACCATGTCACATGTCTGGCCCACCCCTGCAAGGGGCGCAGGGAGAGCCTTGGCTTTCCCGTCACTACTAAATCAAATATCTGCTCAGAGGTCATAGCCCAGCTTGGCTGCTCCTTCTAGTGGCCAGGCCAGAGCACAGCGCCCACTGGGCCAGGGCGGGGGTGGGGGTGGGAAATGGGGGATGGGAGGGTGGGGCTCCAGCACTCCCGGTAGGATGTGCACCATCCGTCTCTTCTCCCTCCCTTAGGCCTAAGGTGCCCTTGTAGAGTTCAGGGGCAGCTCTCCTTAGGTGTAGGCTGAGAGGAGGTGTCACTATATGCATGGCAGCCAGGAGCCCAAGAACAGTTAAGGACATATTATTTCACATTCACACACCTGTACATTTTCTATAAATAATGTGGAGCTGAAATATGTACAATCATCTCTTGCCTGCTGCAGCCATCTCTCCCTTCCAGCACCCAGTGCCAGGAGACACTGCCTGAAGACAGATGTACATACTGAACCTGGCCTTTTCCCACCCCACCCTGGTTCCTGGACATGGTCAGCCAGTGGTTCCAGGGACTGTCCTCGCCCCAACTGCTCTGTGCTCTCATGCCAAAGGCGAGGCACAACCACAGGGAAATGGATGCTCAGCATAAATCAGCCCCAGGGGGCTGCCCCACTGCAGCCAGGAGGCCTCAGTAGGCAGGTTGCCAGCTCAGAAAGTGCATAAGCAAGCAGGGAGGTTGCTGCTCACTCTGTTGTGTGGACTCTCCCTCCTTTCCGTTCCCACCTCCTGTCTGTGAGGACAGGCCTCAAGCTTTCCTCACACCCCACAGAATGGGACCGCTCCAGGCACCCCACTGTGCTCTATCACAGAACGTAGAGAGCCCAGAGGACAGTAGGCTGGTCTTCTGGAGCAGAGAGGGAGAAGGTGGGAGAACGAGCTCAGCCCTGTGATGGACGCATGAGGACACAATGACAAGAGACATATAACTGGATGCCAACTAAGCCACGGCCAGGGACTTGCAGAGAACATACGCATAACACCCACTCCTCAGTCACAGGAACATCGCACGCTTGGGAATAGGGGGCATCCCCTGGGCTTGGCCAGCTCTTAACCCCTCTTCATCAGCTAGAGACAGGTCTGGGTGGGGTTCTGAGATCTTCCTCACTGCTACGAACTGCAGCCACATATGAGAAGAGACACAACACAGAGTAGCAGATCTCGTGGGCCTAGAGGGGAGAGAAAAACAGACAGATCAAAACCACTGAGACACCTACACCTTCACATGTGGATGGTGTGTTCTTCACCAAGCAGGTAACTCCTGCCCTAACGCTGGGGTCAGGTCTCAGAACTGGTCGGTGGGAAAGGGGCCACCGTATGGGTCTCTCCCAAGAGTGAAGACTTGTGTCGGCTCCAGTGAAATTGTTGGCATTGAGGCTGAGTTCATCTCTCATGGTATTCCTAACCCCCCTCACCCCGTGCTCCTACAGGGCCCGCCCCACTCCTGTCCGAAGGTCCCCAGGGAGCCCTGGGCAGACAGGCCTGTCAGGGTTCGGTGACAGACTCACCATTGGTGTCTTGTACTTGTGGCTCACCACTTCTTTAATTTCAGGAACTAAAACCGGACGGGCAAGAAACAAAACAGAAAGTTCAAAACTAAGAGCGGTAGTGCCAGCTCCCCAGGTGGCAGCGCCTGGCACCAGGGCCCCTTCCCCTCTGCGGCCTCTCCCAATGGCTGCAGCAGCTTAGGCTATGACAGCTTGTGTCCAGCCCCCACTGGATGACAGGACACTGCCCTCAGACTCCTCAGCCAGACCTCTGAGGTCTGCAGTGGCTCTTTGCTTGATGGCCGTGACTTCACCCACTTCTTTGAGAGCCCCTGCATGGAGTGGGCTAGCCTTTCACTAGGCTGGTTACTGCTCCTGTCCAGCGCCCTGAGGAGCTGCAGTGGGGCATTCCTAGATCTTGGCTGGGAGAAGGGAGTTATCTCTAGCCTGTGCCTCACCTTGCTGAGATGCCCAAGAACTCATCCCTGCCACCAGCCCGAGACTCTGTGCTCCCAGCCCCTACACAGAGGGTCTTGAGGCTGCATGAAGAAGTGGCATGGTACTAAACCCACCAGACTTGTAAGTTTCCTTCCCTGAGAGGCAGGAGATGCCCAGCCTGCCTGTGTGAGGGAGAGCGTCAGAGGGCTCTGGAGCAGACATGCAGAGCAGAGGGACAGGCAAGAGCAGCACCCAGGGAAGAAGGTGACAGGGAGCGCCAGGCAGGGTACACACAAGTCCATGGCCCAGAATGCAAGACCGAGAGTCACTCCCACCCCAGCCATGCAGGAGATCTGCTTGGCTCAAGGAAGGATAAGGCCCCCTGGGCTCAGCCATCACTAGAGCCCCTGGAACGGGAGCAGAGGGGCATGGCATCCCCTGTGGACCGAAAAAGGTGAGATGAGAGTTGGCCACACCTTCTTCTGACCCTGGGAAGTACAATTCGGGGGAACCCAGGATTAACAGGGAATAAACTCATTGAAGATAGAGCAGGAAGCCTAGGTCCTTCTTCTGAGTTGGAAGATTTCCCTAAATATCTCTCTGTCAGAAGAGAGATGGGAGTACACAAGGGGAGAAAACTCAGAACCAATGAGCCAGCACAAGGGTGGAGAGAGACTGGGAAAGAAGAAGGAGGGGAGAGAAGGAAGAGACAAGCTGGCCTGTGAATAGCTGATTTGGTAAAAGGGAGTCCACCCCACCCACTGCAGGGCCCAAGGCAGGGGCCTGGGAAGAGGCAGCATGAGCCGAGGTCACTTTACCTGCTGGAGAAGAAGGTTTTCATAGCAGCGATGAGGGGCACAAAAGAATGAAGCACAAACACAGCAGGAACTCAAAGCCCCAGGGCAAGGACCCACTGCACCACCTGTCAGCCCTTAGCTAGGGGGAGGCTGGCTATGGCTACAGCTGTCCTGTCTGTCCCCGAGGCCCACTAGGCTTCCCTGCCCTCTAGAGTGAATCTGCCTGTACCACCCCATGTGTCCTTCCTTTAGCACAGAGGCCGGGTGGACATCAGAGTGGCACCAGGAGGCTGAATGGAGCACTGGGCTGCTACAGGGATGGCAGCAGGTGACATGAACACAGCAGAGCTTGGGGACTGCCTGTCTGCTCTGCCCCAGAACTTTCTGACCATCAGCTGGCCAAGCAAGGAGAGGTTGCACCAGTTCACTGAGCTTCTTTAGCACCATCCTCTAAACTAGTCTAAGGCCACTTGCTCTTCTGTGACCCATTCCCTAGCAGCCGCTGTCTCTCTCTCTTCCTTTTCCTTCCCTGATCTCACTCCTGCTCCTCCAGACCTCCCTGCAGAGGTGGCTCTTCTCTCTACATCTAGTCCCTCCTCTGGAGCTCCGAGGTTTGAGTTACTGCTATGTAGAGTCCAGACCTAAGAGCAAAATAGTGTAATTACCAAATTCCTCCAGGACAAAGACGCCTCGAACTGTATTGCACTTTTTAATGTGATTCAGCTCTATGAAAACCTGCAAGAGAGGGAGGGAGGGTGGGGTAAGGCCCAGAGGCTCCCCATGCCCCACAGAGCCCACTCTCCCCGCTATAGCCCCACCCACGTACAGAAAACCTATTTCCCAAAGGGAGGACAAAAGAATCCACACACACACAACTCAAAAGTGCTAAGAAGCGAAGACAGCAGAAAGGGCATGTACCTTGCGCTCCTGGCCGGAGGAGAAAGCATGGGAGAGAAATGAAGGAGTTAGTTTTAATGGTCAAACCCAACCCAAAGGCCCCTCTGCTGGCCTGGGTTGCCGCCTATACCCTCTGCCCAGGGCAGCACTTGTAGGACACTATGCCCCAGAGGTACCCCCTCAGCCCATTAGCTCTCTACCCTTCCATGCATCCTCCTCCGGCGCAGAGGGCTGGCACGAGTGCAAAGGTCCCCTCACACTGTCCTTGGGGTGGGAAGTGTTTGTATCTTCCTTGAAACAGGATCCAGGCTCTCCCAAGAAGAACATGGTGATAACAACAGCTATCACTTATAAGTAACTACTAAGAGTTCTACAAATATGATTTGTAATCCTTACATGTATGTGATACAGCATATAGTATTACCTTCATTGTAAAGATGAAGATACTGAGGATCAGAAAGCTTATTTACCTACGAATAACGAAGTTGGGCTCTGAATCCAAGTCGGTCCTGACTCCAAAGCCCACGCTTTTCCCATTTGTTACCCCATACTGCCCAACTCTGCCCCATGGTCCGACGCTTCCGCAATTCCCACTGACGGTATGTGGTAGGAGATGGGACCAGGGCCGTCATCTCTGCCTGTCAGGGTTTGACTCCCCCTCTCTGTAGGATCTCTCTTCTGCAGCAAAGCTTTAAACTACAGACCAGTTTGCACATGCTTTGAAGTGGTTGGTCCATAGGGGCTAAACTAAGGGTAGGACCCAGAGAAGGGCATCTGGGGTTTGGTTAAAGATACATCTTCTTTAGAAGATGAGGCATCAGGGAGGCCACAGTGCTGAAATGTTGGCAGAAAACTGCTCCCAAGGAGTGCTGGCACCTTCGTGGTCCAGAAAAGTACTCAATAGAACCTTTCTTTGGGCTGACCTTATTTAATGTATCAATGTTACTAACAGTAAATACACTGCTGAAAAATATCCTGCCAGTAAGCCTGGGCGGCCATCTTCCATCACACCAAAGCTGCCCAGCTGGATTCCTGAAAGAAGAGAACTAAAACGGGAAGTGGAGGGAGAAAGCCAGGGTCCAGCTGTTCACCTCCTGAGTATCTGCTGCCTGGCCAGGGGCTGTGGTGCTTCCCACACTCTTTTCTGGTTCAGAGCCTCAAGGAGAGGAACTGGTACAGCAGGGAGGGGCAGGGAAGGCACATGCGTGAAGTGGCAGAACTGGGCACGGACCTGGGAGGATGCGTTGGCCTCAGAATGGAATTAGCTTAAGGAATGTCCACTGAGAGTAAAAGTAATACTGGGTTAAAAGCCCACAAGGAAAAAGCCACTCCTATGGAATCACAATGAGGGAAAGCTGATCCTCAAATGCTCCCCAGGCAAAGGAAGGGGGCAGGGAACAGAGTGTGGACACTCAGAGGAAGGAAAGGAACAGGAAGAGACTCAGCAGGAGAAAAAGGCAAATAAACACACACTCCAGATAGGACAGATACAAGTTACTCATGCACACCCACAAGCTTCACACAAACCAGAAACACGCAAGGAGATCAGCTGGTCTAGACTCTCTAAGCAAAACCATCAAGCAGAAGCATTATTACCCTGGGAAGAGGGAAGGCAGACGCTGTGCAAAGAAGGGTCCAGCGAGACGCTCCCACTCACATTGTGCTGAGTAGTCTAAGGGACGGAGGCAGCCCGGCCACCGAGGTGCCCTCCCCGGAGACCACCCCCTACCCCGTGCAGGCTCCCTGCTGCACCTTCCAGGTGGTCACCGCTGGCACTGCCCTCCCTCTGCCTACTGTCTCTAGTCCAGCTGCTCTAATTCTCCCACTAGCCCCAGAGGCACGCTCATGCTCACTGGGACAGCACTGGGGGCCTGGACACTGATCCTTACTGCAGATGCAACGACAGGGCTGGGAAGTGTGTGCTGACACTTGCACCTACCTGGTTGTGCATGAACTTGAGATTGATCCCTTCTAGGGTGACCTGCAGCAAGCCGCCCTCACCAGTCTTCATATCCTGCACAGGAAACTCGCCGCCTAGTTCAGGTCCTGTGGTGAGGGAGGAGCTGATCAGCTAACCAGGGAGGTTGGGAATCCTGGCTTCCTTGTCAGGCCTGACACTGAGGACTGACAAAAAGAAACGAAGGGACTTGCTCAGGGACTTCTTTTCTTCTCACCAGGTTTGATGCTTTGCTGTCGGGCAGCAGCACGCTCCATGCTATCCTTCACACAGTAGTACAGCTCCCGACACTGCAACACATGGGGAGAGAGCTGTCCTGTCATACCAGCCTTCCAGAGAGCCCCCACTCTGCTCTCTAATGGCAATGCCAGGACCTCAGAGACAGCTTTACAAATCCCACATAACAGCCAGAGGCAAAAGTGGGACCCCAGACATGGAATTTGGAATTTTAACTTCCCTGCCAGACAATGAACACTTGGCCTTCAACGCCCATGCCCCAACCCAAACAGAGCTCACGGGTACCTTCTTTGTATAGAATTTGTTGAGCTGGGTCTCAGAGCCATTTCTACGCCACAAGCACAACACCTTGGTCTTGGGACAGTAGGTCATGTTGATGAGCTTCTCATACCACCAGCGCTCATACACCGTCCCAATGCTACTGCGTAACACCACACAGTCATCGCACACCTGGAGAAGTGCACAGAGTGCTTCAGTGGCTCTCATCTCTGAGAGTCTCTACCATCCCAGGACACACCACACTGTTTCCCACAGGGACAGGATGGGGCAACTGGTCCTGGGAACATCCCATGGTCAGGTTTTCTGCCTTGTGCTCACAGTCTTCCTTAGGTGAAGACACAAACCCTGCATCGCTGGACATTTTGTCCACTAGGAGGTTTACTGAAGGAAAAGGAGTCACTGACAGGAGCCCATGAGCAAGGAAGGAGGCTCACTTTTCATTTAATGTTTATCACCACTTACATGTTCTGGACAGAGTACTCAGAGGATACCTTAGGCCTCCACCTTACAACCTTAGGAATCATTTCCATTGCCAAACAAAGCAGGGGATTATGGCAGATTTAACCAAGGAGCAAAAAATGGAACCAATGCATTTCTGATCCTGGCTTGGCCCTAGTTCTGTATAAATCTTTTTAAAATGAATTACACAAGTATGGACAATGCTTATTGAAAACAGCTATACAATACAGAATGATGTAAGTTAAAAGATAAAGCCTCCTTCATATCCCCTTCGTGTTCAACATTCTCCCTTAGGTGAACATAGTTGTACGGCTTCGAATACCATGGGCGTCACTACAGCACCATTACTCAGCTGTGTCACCTTGAGCACTGCATCTGTTTCCTCATGTGTAAGATGAGGACAGTAACAGTAATAACATCATGGAATTATTGGGGAGATTAAATGAGTTAATGTGCATTAAAAAAAATCTTAGAACAAAGCTAGGCACACAGAAGTACTCCAGAGTTAGCTATGACAACAATATAATTATGACATAACATAATAATTATTATGACCATGTTGATGGTTCTCAAATCTTTCCCCATATGAGACCCATCTTCCTGAGCCTCTCTCTCTCTGGATGTCTCACGGGCACCACAAACTCCTCATGTCCAAATCTGATCTCAACATTGCCTCTAGGGCAGGTCCTCCTCCTCAGTCCCGTGAATAAACAGCATCGCCACCCACCCGGCCACCCAAGCCACAGACAGCGCTGCAGGCCTCCTTCCTCTCCCTTGGACTACGCTGCTCAGTCCCATCTGTTTAATTCAAATATCCCTGGAACACTCTCCACTCTCCTGCTCCAGCCGTTAATCCTACTCTTTCTTCAAGTCTAAGCTCAGAGGTCGCTTCTGAGGGCTCACTGCGGTGTTGAGAGTCCCTGCTGTGTGTTCCCGTAACACCCACCCCTGAACATCTTCTCTCATGGTGGTCGTCATACTCCATGGCACTGTTCTATTATTTGACTTCCCCAGTGGTTTGTCAACTCCATTGAAGGCAACAGAAACCATGTCCCCTTATTCACTGCTATGACTCCATACCCAGCTGAGCACCTAGCATACAATACAGACTCCATAAATATTAGCTGAATAAATAAGGAATACACAGACCAGCAGGTTCAATCTACTACCTTAGAGTTTATTTGGGTTCTAAAATCCTTATGAAGAAAAGGGCCAAAGAAGCTGAGTAGGAATTAGAAACTTGAGCTTTTCCCCCAATCTGACTCTGGTTTTCTCTATGTAGAAAGTGGAGACTACTACTCCATTTTCTACAAGCTTTTAAGAACATCATGTAAAGGAGACGGCAGGGCAGGCATTCATGAGAACACATGATTTGTAGGTGACAGAGATGATGGTAATTATGTGTTATACTCAGATAGCAATTTGGCAGAATCTACCAAAATTTTAAATGTATATAAACTTGACCCGGAAATTTCACAGTGAGAATCTATCGTACAGAAATTCTCATGTGAGTGTGCAAAGATATATTCAATGAAGCATTGTTTAAAAAAGAAAAAAACAGTGGGAGAGACTAGTTGAATAAATTCATATACCTAATGGGTAAGCATCCATTTATTAAAAGAGACAGATTTATATGATATACAGACATGGAAAACTGTCTGTAATACATTAAGTGGAAAAAAATTATGTAACAATATTCGTAGTGTGAGACCACTTTTGTAAACACTAATACAAAATTCCATATAAGTTGCATTTATACAAATACGCATTTTTTAAATTTGAAAGGATTCACACAAACAGCAGTTACCTCTGAGACATGTCATTGGAATGAAGTAATGGGAAACTTTTACTTTTTACTTTATTTACTTATAATGGTTTGAAACTTCTACAGCATATACTGTTTTGCTTCTGTAATTAAAAAAAAAAAAAGACAAAGATGATTTTCTGAAGTCTTCATAAACTGCTATCCAACTGAACATGCAGCCAGCAGGCTGTGATGACAAAAGCTAAATCAGATAACCTCACAGTGGACAATGATGATGGAGTGAGCAAGGTCTCTATTTGACATGGCAGTACATTAAGGGAGAGGCCTAGGAGGTGATGGCTCCATCCCATATTCTGGGAACTTTGTATGAGGCTCCCCTTTATGGTAGTGAAAGTGAGTTCTAAACTTCAAGGAATCTTCTGGAGAGATTGATTTTTTTATAAGAAAAATACAAGGGTAAGAATCCCCGGCCAGGGAGGAGCCAAGATGGCGGCGTGAGTAGGGCAGCAGAAATCTCCTCCCCAAACCATATATATTTTTGAAAATACAACAAATACAACTAGTCCTAAAAGAGAGACCAGAAGACATAGGACAACAGCCAGGCTACATCTACATCTGCGAGAACCCAGCGCCTCATGAAGGGGGTAAGATACAAGCCACGGCCCAGCAGGAACTGAGCGCGCCACACCCCAGCTCCTGGTGGGAGGAGAGGAGTCAGAGCGGGGAGGGAGTGGGAGCCCAGGACTGCTAAATACCAAGCCCTAGCCATCTGCATGGGGAGCGCAGACACAGTGCGTGGTGTGCTGGATACTAGGGAAACACGACAGTAAAACCTGCGAGCAGGTCCCCGCAGCCAGTGCCCCTGGGACAAAAGAAAAGCAAGCGCTTTTTGAAAGTCTTAAAGGGACAGAAGCCTCACAGCTGGACAGAAGCGTACCGGCACACTCAGCCCAGAAGCTGGGAATCCCGGGGAACTACCGGCACCCGAGCCCCCTGGGTGGCAGCACAGCTCTGAGACCCCTCATGGTGACAAACAGCCTCCTGCCCGTTTCCCCTCCAGCACAGCCCCGCCATAGCGGAGCAGCAGCCTGAGAGTGGCCATGCCCACAGTAAACACGCAGAGCCACCTCCACAGCCGCCCTGGTCAAACTTAGAGGCCCCATTGCCACATAGTGGCCCAGCAAAAGCCACTGGGATCGCCATACTCATAGGAAAGGAAGGTGACCAACAAGCAAGTAGGGACTTTATTCTCCTAGTTGACACACATGCCAACTGCCGCACGACTACCTCTATCACCATGAAAAGGCAGAAGAATTTGATACAGTCCAAAATAGTCCAGACAACCCGAGAAGGAACCTGGGGAGATAAATTTAACCAATCTTCCTGAAAAAGAATTCAAGATAAAGGTCATAACCATGCTGATGGAGCTGCGGAGAAAAACAGCTAAAGGATAAAATTGGGAGGGAGAATACAGAAACAAAACAATCTCTGGAAGGGCTTAAAAGCAAAATGGACGGGATGCAAGAGGCCATTAATTGAATAGAAATCAGAGAACAGGAACGCAGAGAAGATGATGCACAGAGAGATAAAAGGATCTCCAGGAATGAAAGAATATTAAGAGAACGGTGTGACCAATTGAAACAGAACAATATGTGCATTACAGGGGTACCAGAAGAAGAGAGAGAAAAAGGAATAGAAAGTCTCTTTGAAGACATAATTGCTAAAAACTTCCCCAAACTGGGGGAGGAAATTGCCTCTCAGACCAAGGAAGCACACAGAACTCCCAACACAAGGGACACAGGGAGGACAACACCAAGACACATAATAATTAAAATGGAAAGATCGAAGAAAAGGACACAGTATTAAACAAAACCAGAGAGAGAAAAAAGGTCACCTACAAAGGAAAACACATCAGGCTATCATCAGACTTCTCAACAGAAACCTTACAGGCCAGAAGACAATGGCATGATATATTTAATGCAATGAAACAGAAGGGCCTTGAATGAAGGATACTGTATCCAGCACGATTATCATTTAAATATGAAGAAGGGATTAAACAATTCCCAGACAAGCAAAAGTTGAGAGAATTTGCCTCCCACAAACCACCTCTACAGGGTATTTTAGAGGGACTGCTCTAGATGGAAGCACTCCTGAAGCTAAACAGATGTCACCAGAAAAAATAAAATCATAGCAAAGAAAGCAGACCAACCAAATACTAACTAAAGGCAAAAAATAAAATCAACTACTCACAAAAGCAGTTAAAGGAAACACAAAAGAGCACAGAATAAAACACCCAACATATATAAAATGGAGGAGGAGGAATATGGAGGGAGAGAAATAAAGAATCATCAGACTGTGTTTATAATACCTCAGTAAGCTAGTTAAGTTAGACAGTAAGATAGTAAAGAAGCTACCCTTAAACCTTTGGTAACCAAGAATCTAAAGCCTGCAATGGCAATAAGTACATATCTTTCAATAATCACCCTAAATGTAAATGGACTAAATGCACCAATGAAAAGACACAGAGTAATAGATTGGATAAAAAACCAAGACCCATCTATATGCTGCTTACAAGAGACACCTATAACCCAAAGACATACACAGACTAAAAGTCAAGGGACGGAAAAAGGTATTTCATGCAAACAACAGGGAGAAAAAAGCAGGTGTTGCAGTACTAGTATCAGACAAAATAGACTTCAAAACAAAGAAAGTAACGAGATAAAGAAGGACATTACATAATGATAAAGGGATCAGTTCAACCAGAGAATATAACCATTATTAATATATATGCACCCAATACAGGAGCACCAACATATGTGAAAACAAATACTAACAGAATTAAAGGAGGAAAAAGAATGCAATGCATTCATTTTAGGAGACTTCAACACAACACTCACTCCAAAGGGCAGATCCACCAGACAGAAAATAAGTTAAGGACACACAGGCA